AACCAGAGAGAATCAAAAATCATTGATAATAAAAGTAAAGAGAAAGCTTATAACACTGTGCACAGGCAAAATTCTTGTTTTGTAATTCTTGAAGGTAATAGTAAAACACATTTACATTGTGATAAGCTAATCTTGCCAGTCTGTCTGTCTGCAGTGCTTTAATGATCTTGTTGAACAATCGATTCTGTTGTAAGGTCCATCCAGTTCTACAATTCGCAATAGGGTATGAAGAACATAAAAGTAAAATCAAGGTACATGTATAAAATGAAGTCTTTTACATTGCACATGAACCAATAATTATCATACATTTACACGTGTATCAAATTTTGTTTCATTATACATGACTCATATACATGTACTTTAACCATGAATATAAAATTACTTGGACATGTAATTGACTCAAACATGAATCAGATTACTTTAATCATGAATATAAAATTACTTTTATATGTAAATGACTCAAACATGAGTCAAAATGTAATGAGGTCCAAAGGCTTTAATGGTCACCTGAGTTTAATACAACCTTGCTAATAATCCTGTGAATTACCAAGGGAAATAACTTCTCTCCCTTCATATTCTAAGTAGCCTAGACAAAACATCACAATGTTTTACACTGTTGTCATGAATTTCCTAAATCTAGTAAAAACACTTTTACAAATTACAACTATGTTTTGAATACCCTGCAAGATACCCAGGAGTAAAGAAGATTTTTAATAAGAATTTATTCATTACTATCTAATTATTATACAAGAGCCCCTGACCTAAGGGCCATAATAATTTCAAAATTGTAGAGGGCTCAATGCTCATATAATCATGCTGGGTGTTTGACTGTATGATGTCCAGGAGTAATTAAAAAGATTGTTGACGACTGAATTAATTTTGATAGCTTTAGATCCACCCTTCAGGCATTCCTGGTGGGTCCTTAACATTCTGACTTAATTTTTGTGCCCCTTATGCAATGCAAGCTATGTACCAAAATAAGTTGAAAATGGTTATGTGGTTCCATTGAAGAAGCTGAAAATGTTCAAATGTCAACAGATGACTGATGCTTGATGACGCATGACAATGGATGAAATCAGATTGCAATAGGTTACACAAGTGACTCAGGTGACCTATCAAAATAATTTAATTAAACTAAAGAATATATCACCTTCCAATCGAAATGCTTGACTACTTCATTGAAATTATTGTTTACAATAATTACAAGAAAATGAGGCTAAATAAACATTAAAAAATGCAAATAAACAAAATTGATGGTTAAAACCCTGGGAAAACAAGGGTGGCAAAATGATGAAAGCATGCGTAATTAATAAAACTGAACTAAGATTTGATACCTATTGAAGTCTTTGATTAGAGACTTGTTACAGGCTCCTTTTTTATATTGAAATCTACGATGGAACATTTAAAGTATGATGAAAATTTAATTCTGATTTTAAAGACTTTCTAAAAACAATATTGCAAACTCTTAAATATAATATTGTATTATATTCCTTTGGGATATCAAATCTTAAGGATTATCTAATCTCTTTATCTACTATATTTGGTACAGACAGTGCAATTTCCATATTTACCCCCATGTAGAGAACAGTGAAATTGCAGTGATCTCAACTTCCCTTTTCTATCGCAAATATGGCGACTACACATTGTGTCTGTACCTTGATAATAATTAAACCAGTCCACAGACAAGTTTGCAACATATTACTGTGAACTGCTTTATTTATAATTAAGCTCTAGACTACAATGACCCATCACCAGAACAATGAGAGGAGAATAATGAGGGGGTGGGGACCCGCCTGTAGGATGACCGACGTTTGTTTGAACCTCGTTATGTGTTCCTCCCAATCATCGGGGCACTCTTCCATCCGGGCGAAGTTGACGTGACGATCACATTCGTGCATCAAGCTTCGGGCTTTGGCCATGTCGTAGGGCGGGGGTGGCTTAGAAGGAGTATCAACAACATCAATGATTTCATGTTCACTGCAAAATACATTTGTGAGACTTATATATGTATTGTATATGGTATAGATAGGTTTGCTCATAAATACAAAGCCTTCCATGTCATTACAACCAAAACAAAAGACTATAATTTTTTTACTTTCGTTGTCAGACTTTTTAATTATTTAGTACTGGTATTCTTTTTATATGTAAAGAATAACTAAAGAATGCAGTTACTTTGAGTTTTCTGCTGTCTGATTACGTGGCACTCTCTGCATGTAAATCAGTTTGACTGGTCTAGCATGACTGGCATCAGGATGGGCACTCCAGGGTTTAGAGTAACCATGATCCATTCCAACAACCTCCATCTTGTCAAGGAGGAATGTCTATAAATAGAGGAGGAAAAATTATGAGGGGATTAGAAGTGTGGAAGTATCTAGAATTAGTTTAGCTGCAGAACTGTAGCTCTCTGCTTGAGAAAATTGGGACAGATAAAGCAGAGAGCTACAGATCCATGAGTAGTTAAAACCTTCGATTTACGTCACTGATTTTTTGTTGCTCACTTCAGGTATTTTATCTTGTATTTTATACTATCCCCAGCTTTAAAAATGGTATTTAATAATTAATCAAACTTCAATTCCTGATAATATACTTACCTTTCAACGCTAACAAATGAATGTTAAATATTAAATAAACCGACATTAAAAACAAAATACAGAGTTAAAATAAAGCATAAAAAATAAGAGTTAAATACATAATTAATTATCTGATACCATTCTAAAAGCCAAAGAAAGCTTAAACTACACGAAATAGATACCTAAAGTAGCGACAAAAAATCGTCGGCATAAATTGAAGGTTTTTAACAACGCATCGATCTATAGCTATCTGCCGAATTTTCTAAAGCAGAGATCTACAATTCTGCAGCTATAATTAGTTACTCTTTAAAAACATAGATGTTTATTTTCATTTGTACATGATATCTTCAATCTCTTTTGTTCCTGTTCTTGATAATGGTAAAGAATAACTGTTTAAGTAAAAAAAAAAAGTTTTAAAATTTTAACATGACATAAGGTATGGTTACAATATAGTATAATACTTACTGATATTTATACTACATGTAAGTGCAAATAGTCTCATGTTTACCCATTCCGAATGTCCCTATCCACACACAGGGACTTGCTCCCGGTGTGTAATAATTATTTATTATAAAATCATATACCGTAATAATAAAACTACACAAGGGAGGACACCATTTTGGACCCCTTCCTCGCTTCAACCTCTGTTTTCATTATATTTTGCCGTATTTTACTGACTCACCGCCACGGATCTGTCAAGAAATGATTCTTCTAAGACCTTATGCTGAAATTTCCCTCTTGGAGCCTCTTCAATACACATTTCAGACTAATAATAATCCAAACTTGCTCGTTAGGACAGTTGGTATGGACAGAAAGTGAAAACACATTCGGTTACCTCAGGGTTTTTCGACTATTTAAAACAACTGCTAGTTATAAATTTGAAAAAACCGCGTTCTAATTCCGTATTCGAATGTAAAACACCGAGGTTACTTTCGCTTTCTGTCCATACCAAACGTCCTAACGAGCGACTTTGGATTATTTTTAGTCTGAAATGTGTATTGAAGAGGCTCCAAGGGGGAAATTTCAGCATAAGGTCTTAGAAGAATCATTTCTTGAAAGATCCGTGGCGGTGAGTCAGTAAAATACAGCAAAATATAACGAAAACAGAGGTTGCAGCGAGGAAGGGGTCCAAAATGGCGTCCTCCCTTGTGTAGTTTTTAGCGAGCGCAGCGAGCGTCGCGAAGCGACGCTCGCGAAGCGAGCTCAATAGACTAACGTGTATGAACAGAGGAAATTCGGATTGAAATCTGTACATACGTCAGCCAAATTTCTCTGTGCAACATTCCCAGAATTCCTGCACTACCCAATGTCCTTTGCGCGAATAAATCAAAAATAGTAAAAAAATTAAAGGAACATTGTTTCTTACCGAAATCTTAACGAAATGATTTTGCCTGACCTTATTCAAAAAAATACCCCCATACCACAACACCGGCCTTCACCTTGCCCTTCGGAAATGATACAAATGACGTCACCGGAAACTTACGAATTTTGACGAAGTTATGTCTGTTGCTTCCGTGAGACTCGGAAAACATGTTGCAGTGCATTGCAACATGGTGGCTAAAACATAGCAACAACTTACTTGAAAAGAACGATTTAATGCAATCTCTTTTCCATAAAACTAGCGTTTGCGTCCTAAGTCAACAGAACTTTTTATCTGACGTCATACTTTCGTCACTTCAACGGTTCGGGTATTTCCGATTTTGTCGGAAACTTCCGAGAAGTTTGGAATCTCGATCCCGATGCTTGGGAAATGATTTCTTTTTATTGTTTTGTTTTATTCTGTTTGCTTTGTTTTTCTTGATATGATAGACAGTACATGTGTAGGTTTATGATAGTAAATAAACTGCGCTCGCCCCAACGGTCACACCGTAAAACATATTATTACGGTATATGATTTTTTAATGAATAATTATTACACGCCGGGAGCAAGTCCCTGTGATCCACATGAACATGATGACCGAAATAGATATTGGACATGCATATCATGATATCATTTACTTGACAACCATTAAATATGAAGACTTACAATTGTTATCGCTTACCTTCAATAATCAAAGGTGCCGTTATTCTGGAATCAAATGGAATTTTTGTACATATTCTCAAACTCAAGCCGTAAATATCAAGAAAATGGCAAATGGCGGAAACTCTATAAATTATTCTAAGAAATAAAGTCAAAACGTATAGTCAATTATTTCCGGAATACATCAGGTCCTTTTTTTTATATATTTTATTTTTTGTACAGTACTACAAGAAGTTATGCATATGCTTTTGTGTATTGCATATCTTTAAAGAAATCAAAGTAATGTATATTTAATTTACCGAGACAGAAGGAATGTAAATGTTATTTTTCTCGCGACGAACTTTGAATAGGATTAGGAACGAGTTAATGAATCCTGACACAAACTTCCTGTCTAAAAATAGAAAACAACAGTTACAACAGCCAGCTGCACTGACTGACTGGGAGTAAGAATGTCACCACCGGAAAGGTATGCTATTGCTAAATGTATCTTATATGTTGTTTTAAGTCACATTGTTACCCATGTTATTTGTTGAATAAGATATTTCAATTACTTCCAGATTTTTTTGTGTTTTTTAAGCCATATTTGTTAACCATGTGCTGATCTACTTGCTCCTAAATAGAAGGTTTCGCCCTAATCTCAGCGACGTCGTAGTGGACGTCAGACCAAATATTTTAGTCCCTACGACATCTCGCTGAGATTAGTTTCGCCCCGATTCCTTGTTTGCTCTGATTGGTTTCGCCCCTTTTACTTGTTCGCGCTGAGTGGATTCGACCTGATTGGGTTTACCCATAATTAATGTCTGCTTGTTGGATAATCGTTTAATCAGTAGACTGATGATGAGCAGCTTCATTAAAAAAATAAAGATGAAAGGCTGCCCTTGTGCTTTTAACTTATATATCTTTATGTCAGAAGCCTCGGTCCAATGTCAATTCGGCCCATTGGCATCTCGGCCCAATGACACCTCGGCTCTGCAAGGTCGGCCCAAGTTTGAAGACAGGTCGCCAATCTATGAGACACCTAGGCCCAAACAGAATTTCATTGAGAAATATGTAATATTTCCAATTTCAGAATTTGCTAAATTGTAAAGTAAATAAAAACAATCAGTCATTTTTTCCATTATTATAAAGAAATTTAGCCAAAGAAATTAACTTTAATCAAGGAATGAGAAGACATAATTAAGGTGCTTAATCAGTCAATTGTTAAACAAACAAAATCCATGGCATTCTTTTGGAATGGCAAATAAGTGTGTGTCGTACTGGTGACGATGAGGGGTTAATTACGAGCAGGTTCCTTTGAATATTGTATCCAACATTTCGTATGAAAACATTCATAAAAGCTAATTAATGGTTTCCACCATAATGTACCTCTCATGCTAAAAATAAAAAAAAAATCATGAAATATACTACAAATTTATTTTTTTTTACTTGTACTTATAGCATTTATATTGCGCATTTCCACAATTCTAACACAAAATTTTGTTTGGGCCGAGGTGTCTTTCATGTGGGCTGAGGTGTCAGTATTTTTGGGCCGACCTGTCAGGGCCAAGGTGTCAACCATCAAGGGCCGAGGTGTAGGGCTGTCACGGTTAACCGAAAACTCGGGTTAACCGCTCCGAAATGGCATTCGGTTCGGTTCGAGTCAGGTTTTCCGGAATTCGGTTCGTTTTTTTTTATCTTTTATATAATACTAATTTGCTTGCAACACGCGTTGTGATTGGTTGTTTATTTCAATGAAGGGTTCTTTAACCAATGAAAATACAGGTAACATCGAAGACATTTAAACATGGCACACACATGTGGAAGGAAAACCAAATCACAAGTGTGGGAATACTTCACGTTTTGAATGTTTCAATTGTTTGAAACAAGATAACTCTAGTCAATAACTATATTTATTTTATTTTATTTTAAACAAGAAGTTTATTACTTTGTTATTTTTTGTTACATTTAACAACTTGTTCTGTTGAATAAAATGGATAGAAATTTGTGTCAGCAAAATAGTACTTTCTACAAAGTCCTTAATCCTTATTATCCTTTGATATATATAAAGATGTTTTATTAAATTCTCAAAATGAAAACCGAACCGAAGAAACTGAAAACCGAGAATTTATTTTCTGAACCGAACCGAAACCGAAAAATGTCTGAACCGTGGCAGCCCTACCGAGGTGTCGTTGGGCCGAGATGTCTGTCTACCTTTATAAGAAAGTTTTATCCGATATACCAAAATTTTTTTACAATAGCAACATCATATGTATGTGAATCCATTGCGAATAAACTGTAAGTAATTTTTCGATTTATTTCTTTAGACAAATAAATAGGGCCTGGATAAATAAATAAATTTAATACTTCCCTATAATTTTTAGTTTAACATTTCAAAAAAAATTACTTAGCAGGGTATACTCACTCCTCCATGGTTCCTGTTCCCATCTCTGATGTTTTAGAGATCTTTGTTTCTTCTGCTCCTGATTTTTATTGTTTAATGGACTTTTGAACTTGAATATTGTTCGTTATCTTCATACATGTATATTAAATGTTTCTGTAAGCATTGATATGCTGTACACTCCATCAAGAGTATAATTTTGATTTGTTATAATATTGTAAAGTTTTTGCCATTTTTACTTCTATAGATCATGATAGATAAATTAACATGCTTGAATGTTCTGATGAAAACCATCTCTGGTTGAAAACAGTCAACTAAATGAATCTACTGCATTCTTACGAAGTGTTGGTGATCTGTATATATCTATATATTGTAAAATGTTAAATTCTGAACAGTTTATTGATACATATCTTTGTAGAACCTCATACAAAGTTACATAGTTATGTTTTTCTTGTCCAATTTTAAAATACGTAGTTTCCTTTAGAAATGGATAGTTAGTTTTTATTTTTCATGAAAGTAATTAGTAAAGCTCTAAACCATGCAGTTTGGTTTTTATTCTTTTCTTTTTGGTTATCAACAAACAAAAAATACAATGTCATTATTTACATTCAAGTATTTGTACAGGGTAATCCTCATAAAAATACCCGGTAGTTGTCTGCAATCATGCTACTTGGCAGCCATTTATCATATTGGTATACTACATGTATTTAATTGAGTATTTGTATAACTTATATTCTTTATATTTATAGATGGGAGGGCTACAGAGCACTTGGAAAAGTGATTCCAGGAACAAGATTAATAACATTTAAAGTACCTTTAAAAAAGGTAAATGGAGTTAAAGATACCAGTGAACTTGTATATTTATTATGCAAGAAGTAAGGATTAAATTTTATTTTTTCATTTGTTTTTCCTAAATATTTTAGTAATATGATATGTTGGTGCCCATTGACAAATGAAATGTAGAAAATGAGGAATTTATAACAATTTGTGTGAAATTGCAACATAATTTTCTTTTGATTCAGGAATTGTGTGAAAAACTTCCAGAAGAGGAAAAGTGAGTTTTTTTTTTCATTTCACAGCAAAAGATGAATAATACGAGGGGTGATCAAAAATTTCACGAACTATCTCTATTATCTACAAAACCACAATTCAGATTAGAATGAAATTTGGTACACACATAACCATACACAAGTTCTATAAATAGCGTATACTGAATAAAGTTTTGCTCCTTGTTTGTGTCATCACAATGTGAAAATGACGTCACTATGTAGGTCACTTGTGACGAAAAATGGTTGTCTCAGTCGTACTCGTTCAACAAACGACTGTTCAATTTCTTGCATATCTTAGAAACACCTTTGCCGTAACATAAAATAATTTGTACACAGTTTATTAAGACAAATGACTTACTATAAATTTAATCAATGATTGGATTGATCGCTTTTAAGTGAAGGAAGGCAGATGGTTAAAAATGATACATGTCATGTTGCTCAGTGAAAGCAAGTTTTTAAAAAGAAAGCAGTGATATGTGTTTTTAATTAAGCAATTTGCTATCAAAGACCTCCAATTAACACTTTGAAAAATAGTTGAATATTTGAACAATAATATAATTATTAGATAGCTAAGATATCGTTTACTTTAGATTTTAAACATATTAGAAATGATAAAAAAGAGGCAACCATTCTCTATCCACCTTGAATAAACGTCTCTCCCGAGACAGAAGATTTGTGTTTTAATGGTCGCCATGCTTATTTTTGGAAAGGATATTCTTATCTACCCATTCTGTTGCCGAGATTTGACCATTTCTGACAAATGAACTGTTCTTGATATGAAAATTAACTTACATGGATAAGAATATAACACTCAGAAAAATCTTTCAGCTTTTGTGACAGAACGCTACGGAGAGAGTCACGTGGCCGCCAATATCTCATGATTCGCACATGCGCAGGACGGTGGCTGATGTGCATTAAAATTGGAGAGGACTAATTTAAAATATAATGAACACTAAAACCAAATATGGTTTTCTTTTATGGAAGTTATTTAATTAGTTCGCAAACTTTTTGATCACTCCTTGTAAATTTCAGAGACTTTTTCACATTATGATAACAGATTAATATAGGTCTTTTTGTTACTTCTAATCTAACTTCAAACTACTGATAATATACTGATGTTTATTGCAAATTCCAAAGACATAGTGGAAACTGCTTTGTCTTTTATGTAGTGAAAGATTGATTGATTATGAGTATTAATGTACTGATATAATGTGTTATCTATAAGTTTTGCATATTGCAGTGAGAATCTCTGCTTTGTTTTAATCACATCTAGTCTCACCAATTCAGGAAACAACAGAGAGACAGACAGAAAGAGAGGGATAGATAAAACTTTGATGTATTTCTATTATGTGCTTTTATTTTCATTTATCAGATTTACCCCAAGAAGTTTGGTTTCCATGGTAAAAAACCTTGGATGTCAGTTAGGAATGGTGGTAGATCTTACATTCACGACAAAATACTACAGTGCACGGGTAAGTACAGTTAAAGCAGCTGGATAGCGCAAATGTTTGACTCAGTTTGTGGGGGTATATTTATAAACATTTTGTTATGTCAAACGTTGCAGCTATCACAAAAAAGAAAATTATATCGCCCAATTTAGTGAGTTTTTATTTCATCTGTAACAGCTTTAACATTCATTCCCATACAAACAACTTAAGACCAAATTTCTTAGTTCAAACAAATGAGCAAGAAATTGTTTTATTTTCAGGATATGGAACACCAGGGTATCAGATATGAAAAGATTTTTACAGAGGGCCATAATGTTCCGAGTGATGATGTAGTATACAGGTAACATTTAAAAAAAAAAAAAGAATACATAATCTCTGAAAGATTCACAATGTTGTGTGTGTCAACAAAAAAAATTAATACACAAAATGCTACAATAATTGTCTGTTATTAAGTATTATAATTAAATGAAAAGATCTTAAGGCTGAATATAAACAGTAAATATTCCAATTATCCTTGCACTTAAATATACCAGTAAGTTTAAATTTTTGTTAAAATTTAATTTTCAGGTTTTTTGATACACTTGAAAGCTTTTATGAGACAAATAAAGATAATGGTAAGTACTTAACAAGAGTAAAATTTTCTGCATGTAGCACAAATCTGCATAAGTATTTTAAAATTCCCTCAGAAGTACAAACATTTACCTCAATAATGAAATTGAAATTTTTTTTATGCTTACAGAAAGAAAGGTCTAACATCTACAAGTCTAACTTATTCTAATAATTACTTTTGAAATGTATACATTAGTGTAAGGGTTATTATATTGAATATGATTTTAAATGTAACTGAGTATTGTGTTGACTGTTACAGATCAGCTGGTAGGCGTACATTGTACACACGGAGTTAACAGGACAGGTTACGTGGTCTGTAGATACATGATCGAGAGACTCGGGTTTGAACCAGACAAAGCTATGACAGGTATAGAGGAACATGTAATAGGTAGATTTCCATGTACATATCATGTATTTTGAATTGAGTATTGCCCTGTCACTAGATTCATTAGACAAAAGTTCTGAAAATAAGCTGTGAGTTTTTATTAGGGATGTCAAATCAGTCAATATTTGATAATCGGTTACTCGGACGTTTTTTCCGATCGAGTACCCGGGTACTCAGTAAAATTGTAAATACTTGTACAAGTCTGTTAATTTTCTTACAATCAGTATTATTAAACCTCAATGTTGTTTTTATGACGTTTTTAGTGCATGTTTATAAACATCGAGTCCAATGAAAAATGATTTATTGTACTTAATTTATTTACTGTAAACCAACTTTTATTCGCGACGACTTTATTTCGCGATTTATCAGGATGAAAAATTTTTGGTTTTGTAGTCAATAGACACAAAGACTAACAGGGCCGGTTCGCGGTAAATACTTGTACAAGAAATATTAGCGACGTAACTTCGCGAAAATTTCTCGCACGCGAATAAATGTTGGTTTACAGTATCTAAAAAAATAACACACACGAAAGACATCAATTTCATACACCAAAAATTACAAATGATTTACATTTTTTCTTTGGGAAGACGATTTAATCAATCTGCTACGTAATGATCACATTAAAGAAACAGTAGGAAGGGCCATTGTTTGGATCCCTTGTTGTGTTGTATTATTGTGTCCCCCGTATACGCTAAATTTACTCCGCATAGCTGACTTTAAACATTAATTACAGTCTCTTCAATTACATGTATTACAAAAAATATTATTTTCTTTACAATTTTAAGTCAGTAGAGGCATTCCTATGCAAGTCAGATTTGGGTACCGTTTACTAAATAATTTAAAAATGATTTAAAGAAACCAGAACAGAACGAAAACAAACTATTGAAGCCATCCAAAAATTAAGGCTTGCAAAAGGATAGAAAAGCGGGTACCATATATACTGGCCTATAAGTCGGTTTTTTGGGAGTTCATCTCTGGTCTAAAACTCTTTATCCGACTTATAGGCGAGCTATCAAAGTATGGTTTTATATGAGGTCAGTCCAATGGATATACAAGCTTATTAAATACAACCGACTTATAGGCGAGTATATACGGTAATTGGTCACTAGTTAGTTGTATATACAGCCACAGGCGATAACGGGTGTTTTACAGGTGTAGGCGACGGTACTCTTATTATCGTATAATTTTTGATAAGTTTTTTTGATAAATATATGTACTTTGGAATAAGAAAAAAATATACATCCGAGTAACCAAGTACAAGATTTAGTATTCGATTACCGGACGTTCAATCGAGTACCCGGTTAACCGGGTACTCGTTGACATCCCTAGTTTTTATTACTGGCTTAACCAGAAGATATGAGTATGACTATTTTGTTTTATGCTAGAAACAAAAAAAAAAAATCATAGCATTTGTTATTATTTATTTTTGCTACACAGTTTAATACTTATTTCAAATTATTTAAAGCAAAAAAATTTATATTATAATTATCAACTGCCACAGGAATGTTCTTCAATCATTGACCTTTTTTTTGACTTTATTGTAAAGATTGATATGGGTGGAAGGAACTATCCGTGGTATCCCTTGTAATCTACTGTTAGTTACAATTTAATTTTCAATACTTGTTAATGGTGTTTAGGAACATCATGAATTTGTGAATAAAATAGTACTGGTAGTCTTAATTTTATGTCCTTTGTAAGTAAAGTAAGGAAACAAACAGTAATGGACATTGGAATATGTTGTATTCAAGTTTTATGTACCTGAACATATATATACCGGTATCTATATAATTACTATAGTTTACCATGAAGCAAGAGGGTACCCAGTAGAAAGAGAAAACTACATTGAAGACTTAAGAAACAGACAACTGTAAGTGAATAAATGAATACAAACATAATGATATGACATAAGGTGCCATTAATGGTTTTACTTTGTTAGATATGTAGATCTAAATAAGTCTGGCACAATGCTTGTTATGCCAATATTTGTATGCCAAGAGATGAAATGAGTTTCAGAGACTGTTTCAAAGCTAATTTTAAATACTGTCTATACTACAGCATTCAGTGCAAGAGCTTTTATTTTTTCTTTACAGAAACCATGAATACAAGTATGAAGGTAGAGAAAAACTTCCCATGAGAAAAATTACACAGGGTTGGAGACGTGAACGACACCATAATGGCAGGCAAAGAAACCATGAAAAGGACTTTCCTCACAATAGTCACCATCAGAATAACCAGCATCAAGACTCACATGAAATGTATGGTGATCAAACTTGGCCTCAACAGCATCAGGAATTGGAATGGAGAAGAGACAAAGGTCACATGGATCATTACCATGGAGACCAACAACACTGGGATGGCAGGAGATATCAAAATGGTAGGAGAGATTACAGATATCAAAACAGGGATGGAGGGAGACAAAATTATCACAATAACGACTGGAGATACAATGGTCCGAGATATCACCAACATCAAAACAATGGGCATCAGCACCCTCCTCAAGATAATTATTTCAGGCAGGGTTATAGGAATGGCTACAATGATGAAAGGTTTGATTATCACTCCAGACAGAGCAGGCATCATGGACACTATCAGGGTGGTGGATCCTATAGAAATCAGAGGGGTGGACAATATAAATCAAGGAATGATAGATCTTCTGATCAATGGGAGACAGAAAATCGACCACAAGTCAGAAAAAGACATGATTCTAGTGAGGTGAGAAGTGGATCTCAAAATTACAAACGTCAGTGTTCTAAAAAAGATGAAAAGGCACACAACCAATGTGAACAAATGTTAATATCAGATTCCTGTAGTTCAGTGTTAGAGAATAATGACACAGCCAGGTCAGCACATGCAGGGGACACCAAAGATAAAACCTCTCCTGAGTCTACATCCAAGGGCAGTTCAGGACAATGTTCAAAGAAAGGGAGGCTAAGAGATAAAAAGACGGATAAAGAACTGCAGAATTCTGCAGAGAGAGGACTGGCAATATCACATGATCACTAATAATGACAGTGTTTAAAGTGAAAAGTCGAACCTTAATGATACAATTGGAGATACTATCGGTATACAATATTATACAGAGTTCTATCAAAAGAAGGAGAAATGGGTATATTAAGGCAAAAACTGTGCAAAACGGAGATTAAACCTTTGATAATTACTTCTCTAGGTTCATATCAAACAATACTCTGTCTACTGTTCAGCACCAAATTGAAAACAGTATTAGTAAATAAATGACTCCTATGATTGATAAACAGATAAAGCATATTGTGATTTTACAATATATTGTTTTATTTTATTGTTGATACCAAAATACAAATTGTTTATATTTACCAATAACCTAAACTGCCATTTGAATACTTGTATAAACAATTCCAATTTTACTGTGCTGAAAAGGAAAGAAAATCAAGCATATAATCCTTTTAATGGCCTAACCATTGAATATTTTTTATGGTTGTTTATTTTTTTTTTAAGTAGGTATACAATTTAAAACACTTATCAGGCATTTGACATAACATTCATATATTTTTCTAAGATAAAAAATAGGCCTACTCTACTTATTAAGTAGAGATCATTTAATTTGTTTAAAAAAATTTTTTTACATAACAAAATATGTAACATTAAGTGCCTGTGTAATTTAAGTTTAGTTTTTACCCTGTTCATCTTATTTTACACAGAATATTGTAGTTATGAATAAAACAAGAAGTTTATTTATTTACAATGTTACAAATGCAAAGTTTTGAACTTAATTGCAAATAAATTTCTGTGATTTAACTTTTTTAATCTCCTTTATCGGTACAAAGGTCTGTTGGCTCAAAATAATGATAGACAAAGATTGGACGCTGAATCTTCTTTAGCAGGCAATATAAATAATCCTTAGGGATTCACTGCAGGCTTATAAATACTGGTACTGGTACATTAGAATGAATCTGCACCAAAAACTTAAACCTGTTCACTCATCTGGAAAATGTAGGCCAAATCAATCACTCAAAGCAAGCCTGGTATTGTGCATACTCAGATGTATCATCCATGCAAGTTTGGTCAACATAGGGCTTATAGTTACTGGCTTGGAAATGAGACCTGCACCAAAAATTTTAACTTCCTTCAAAAGCATTAACCTGGTCATTCCTTTGCTGAAATTGCAGCATCTGAAACCTTGACTCTTATCTCTGCATCTCTGATTAATGTAGGGCATAATAGTACAAAAGAAAACTGCACCAAAAACTTTAACCTGGGACACCAATGCAGATGGTATCAAATAAGCTCCCTCACTTTGTTGAGGTAAACTAAAAACTGACTTGACTAAGTTTGTTCTCAGTTAATGGTCTTCAGACCTGCCCTGGGGGTCATAAAACTTAGATGAGCTCACTTTTCTTATTCATACAAGTGTTGCCCTAGTTGGCTATACATTTATGCCATTTATGCTTAAAATCATTCAAAATAAGAGTTAAAGAGGACAAAAGAAGACCTTAATCTGTCAAAATGTTAAGAAGATTTATCTATGTAGGCTAGATTAATTAAATTGATTAATAAATGTCACAAAAGGGATCCAAATGCCACCAAATTTTTATTAATTTCCAAGTTTAAGTCTACTTATGATCTACTTTGAATGATTTAAATTATTTAAAAACCATCACAACGATCTCTTCTTCTAGGATTTGAAATGAAAAAAAAGATATTAAAAATACTGCAGTTTTTCAATACTTGTAAGCTAAAACAAGTGCCCAATATCTCAAGCTAACTATCGCTTTACATGTTATTACTAGTATACAGTAAAACTCAGTTATATCGAAGTCAGTGGGACTTGCTTCGAAATTGCTTGAAACTGAAATTGCTTCGCAATATCCGTAAGTCATTATATCAGTATAAGGAATTCTATTAATTTATATGGCTGGGGATCAAAGATAACTGCACTATATCCATAAATTCAATATCTGTGTTTGCACTAAACGAATTTTACTTTACTATATATCACAGTCTGTATTGTGTTATGACAAGTACTGGTATTTAATAATCTTTTCATCACATCAAATGAATCATCCAGAATCAATCTCTGTAATAATTCTCTCCGTGGTCCGCCAGAGTTTCTTGCTAAGTTCTTTATCATAAGCAGAATTCGGGACCCACTTAGAGTGGTCATACAAACTACAGTCCATATAGTAGCCCCCAGTTTGTATTGCATCATCCAGTGCACAGAACAGGATGGATTGAGCACCCTCCAATGGGGTCTGAAGTTAAAATTAGTGTCAGGAAATTTATTTGTTGAAAAATAAAAAAATATTAAACATGCATATACGATATGAAAATTTTGGCAAGATGCAAAATTAGCAATTTATCTCAAACAATTTCTACCGGGTATATATTTTTAGTGAGAAGTAATTTTAGCGATTTAATAATGTCAAGAGTGATATCTTTAACAACTGATGATATCTTTTGAGAAAGTTGTAAGGAGTATCAAAATCATGTACCTTTAAAAATGGTCTCATAACAAACGTTATGATGAACTGTAAAATCCAAGGTAGATTTCTGAACAGTTCACTGGTGACTGTACCAGGATGAACATAGCTTACTAGTATATCTGTAAATAAAAAAATAAAACAACAACAACATCAACTTTCTCAACTTGTAAATGCATATACGCAGTTTTAAGCACAAACACATTAATATGAGATTGCACAAGTGATGTAAGTAACTCTTCTTGATTTGACCTTGTTACTGTATTTCCATTTACAGTAAAGCAGAGTTACAGTAAGCATGCTTATAATTAATCCATAAGCAATCTAAAAAAGTATTATGAACATAACAGGTATAACAAAATTTTGTTCAATTAAATAAAAATTCTTCTTCCCTGATGCTTTTCTTTCAGCACGTCTTAGTGCACATTTAGTTTCATATCATAATTGAACTTTCATAAATGTAAACATTAATACATCAAGCATACTTGTATGTGCTGTTCTTCTGGCAAGTTCCTTTGTAAACAACAGCAGGGCAAGTTTAGAATCATTGTATCCCCCCCTAGTGAACCCCTTATGGACCCACACTGTGTCCCCATCCACTGATCCCCCCAAACTGGCAATGGAGCCCACGTTCACTATCCGTCCCTCTGAAGATTTCTCCAGCATGTCTACAAATAATGTAATAAATAAAATGTTTAGAAATTAGGATGCAATTTAAACATTTTCCTATTTAAAAATTTTAGTACATGCAAATAAGTGAAATATAGAATTACTTTTTACCAATAAGAAGTTTTGATAAAAGAAATGGTCCATAGTAATTTGTTGCAAATGTTTCTTCCAGTCCCTCAGGTGTAACAACTTCATTCCAATCTATAATTCAAATAAGATGGTTGAAAAAACTCACAATATTTTTTATCTACCGTAATTTATTAGAAAAAAAAATGAAGAAGTGTCTGACACAGTCTGACACTGGAATTGATGTGTCTGACCATGACTTGAACAAAGAATCTCATACTGAGTTTCTGATATATACATGTACTCTAAATTTGCACACATTAAAAGCACTTACTTACTACTGCAGCATTGTTGATAAGGATGTCTACACCTTTCTCTTCCTTTCTGACGATATCCGCAAACGACCTGACAGATGACATCAAACTCACATCAAGATGTCGAAACACTACACTCTTATTTCCCGTCAGTTGGATAATTCTGCTTTTCGCGGCCTCTCCTTTTTCTGTATTTCGACAGGTGACCGCCCAGTATTCCGACGGTCCGATAGTCCGACAGCCTAGTAGTCCGACGGTCCGATAGTCCGACAGCCCAGTAGTCCGAAGGTCCGATAGTCCGACTGCCCGGTAGTCCGACGGCTTGATAATTTGTAGTCATATATAACCAATTCCTTCAGCAGGAAAGTGGAAGGATTACAGCTTGTCTGCGCATGGTTGGTATAGAAAGTTGGTATGGAAATTTAAGTATATATATGAAGCATTATCACCCCCCATAAAATAAGTTTTGGTTCTGGTTTTTGTATGCCCCCGTAATCAAAGTATCGGGAATACATAGCTTTTTAATACATTTTTTGCTATACTCTAATGAACAGCTTTCTATATATTAAGTACTAATCAAAATGTTTATTACATTGGACTAACAATTTCACTGTTGACTGGCCTGCTGGTCCAACATAAGAATTGTTAGACAGCAACGTTGCTACAATTTTGACCCCAAAGCAATACAATGGTTTGATTCATATTTAAGGACAGATGATACAAAAAGAAAATTCCTGGATTGGTATATATTTTTGGGCTTAATTTTATCGCAATCGATGCATATAATAGATTTCTAGACTCCTATAGAGAAATTGCAAACGTCTGTGTTGTTCAAAGACCTGCTCTTCTAAAACCATCTTTATTAATCTACACAAATATTTTTTCACTTTAGATTCCATGTTTTTGCAAATTTGAATAAAAAAAATTAAAAGCAACGCAGTGAAAGTTATTCATATTACTCATTTAGGTGGGCCGACTATGATTTTATTGTGAGAAAACTACAATTATAGCGAAACTTTTCATTTTTATACCATGAATAATTTACATTAACTTCAATGCACATGCACAGTTTGGGGAAAATCTACTGTCCAGTTATTATTAAAGGGACCGTCTCAAATACAGGTACAATATACCAAAGGATTATATAGGAAAATGCCAATTTTATCACTTTAAAGCAAATTATACAAATACTAAAATATACTTTTTGTTCAAACTAAAATATTTTATGAGTATTACTGTATTGTACATTATATGTAAGAAATAAAACACTCTACCGTCTTAAGCTTGTTACCAGAGGGGGCATCTAAAAATGCCAAAAATTAACGAATTTTCCTGTTTTTATAGAGTACTACAAAATATGATGGGCACAAAGGATTTATAGGAAAACATACTGAAATTAATGGAGAAATTCTCAGATTTCTATGTTTTTAATTTCAAAAGCGTATCTTTATTACTTTTTCTTAAATAACATTTTATTAACCGTTTCTTTAAACGTTTTAGTTTACATTAACGTCAAAAAGACACTGTAACGACGTCAATTGACCTATCAATTGCAAAATCGTTAAAAATCAGTTTTATAGAATTTTGATTACATTCTTAAACTTTTTTTTTATAAATTTTGTTTAATTTTATTAATTGAGCGAAAAAAATGCTCAAAAACAGTAAATATGCTTCATTTTACTATGGTGCGCGAAATGTTGCGCAATGAAAACTACAATCGGCCCCCATAAACATGGCCCAAGTTGTTATTTTCAAATTCTTTGACAAAAGTTTGTTTGTATCATAGGGAACCCCGATCCTTCAACTGGCGTCGGAATTTCATAAATATTATGGATTCTGTTGAAAATTACGCCAGAAGATGGGCGAGATATGAAAAAGAAGACGTTGACACCTTGTCAGAATGGATTAAATGTATCAGATCCATGTTAATGTCACGTATTAAAAGATTGAAGGGCAATATGAAAACCATCTATCCTTCTGTGTTCAACAAACCAGAAGTGAAAAAAGAATTAGATAGATTACACGATCAGTATGTACTGGTTCCTGCCGACAAAGCAGGTAACAACATTGTCTTCGTTTGTAAGGCTCATTATATAAATTGCATTCTAGAAGAACTTGGATTTAATTCTACAAGTGGTAATCCTACTGATACTCATACTTCTCTTTCTAAGGAAGAAATTCTTCAAAATCACCTGTCAGTTTTGAATACTTTTAATATTCCACAGAGCCAAAATGAATTTGAACTACCTTATATATATTGGATTCCGAAACTTCATAAGAATCCTTACAAACAAAGATACATTGCAGGTTCCAGTAAATGTTCAACCAAGCCTCTTTCGTTACTTCTCACTAAGATATTGACAGTAGTGAAGGAAAAACTTCATGAGTACTGTGCAACTATATATTCAAGAAGTGGTGTAAATCAGATGTGGATACTCAAAAATTCTTAAGAACTTTTGGACAATTTGAAATCACAAGACTTTACAAAAATCAACAGCTTAAAAACTTACGACTTTTCAACTTCATACACAACAATTCCCCACGACAAATTAAAATCCAGGCTTTTTGATATCATTGACAGCTGCTTCTTCAATAAAAATGGAACTCGTAAATTTACTTACCTCGACATTGGTCATTTGAAAAATTATTTTGTTAAAACAGATTCTGATTGCACACAAAAGTACTCTGAGGTTGACATCAAGAAGATGCTTGAGTTTCTGATTGACAATGTCTATGTGGTTTTTGGAGACCAGGTATCCCAACAATCTATTGGAATTCCCATGGGCACCAATTCCGCCCCCTTATTAGACCAATTTTTGTACTCAAATGAAGCAGAATTTATGCAAAATCTTCTGCGTGAAAAGAAGAAAACTCTTGCTGTGGCCTTCGACATTTAGATATATCGAAGACGTATTGTCAATTAATAACGATAATTTCCATTCCTACGTCGATACGATATATCCTGGTGAGCTTGAGATACAAGATACCCCAGAGTCCGACACTTCTGTTTCATACTTGGATATTTTACTTGAAAAAGACACTAATGGTAATCTAACAACCAAGCTATACGATAAACGTGATGACTTTAACTTTTCTATCGTCAACTTCCCTTACTTATGCAGCAATATACCTTCATCACCTGCATACGGAGTATATATATCTCAGTTGATTCGATACGCAAGAGCATGCTCTACGTATGAACAATTTCTTAAACGAGGTAATCCCGTGGGGATCCGGGTTAGAATAGGTCCTCAGTACCCCCTTGCTTGTCGTAAAAGGCGACTAAATGTGGCGGTCCTTCGAATGAGACCGTATAAACCGAGGCCCCGTGTCACAGCAGGTGTGGCACGATAAAGATCCCTCCCTGCTCAAAGGCTGTAATTTGCAGCCCTTCACCGGCAATGGTGACGTCTCTATATCAGTGAAATATTCTGGAGAGGGACGTTAAACAGTATACAATCAATCAATTAAACGAGGTAAATTATTGACAAGCAAGTTGATGAAACAAGAATATCAACAGTCTCATTTAAAGTCATCATTTCGTAAGTTCTATGGTCGATACAATGACCTTGTCAGCCAATACAATTTATCATTGAGTCAAATGCTGACTGACGTTTTTCATACCAATTGTTAGTCCATTATTTATACACTGAATTGACGACGGATTTTTTTCCGTTATTTCCTGATCATGACAACGAGCACACGGCGGGTGTGACCAGTCGACAGGGGATGCTCACTCCTCCATGGCACCTGATCCCACCTCTGATGTTTCGGAGGCCCGTATTTGCTCTGCTCTTATTCTGTATATTGTTTAATGGACTTTGAGATTGAATAATGTTCTTTATCTCCATATCTTTCTTCACGTAAGCCCATTTAGGACCTATCAAAAATATTTTTGAATTCGTTATAACGATTTTTAGAATTCGTTATAATGAATTTAAGTTGTTATAAAAGATTCATTGAATTCGTTAGAACGAAAACAATTTGTTGTTACAGATTAATTGCATTCGTTAGAACCAATTCAAGAATTAGTTTAAACGAATTTTCGAATTGGTTATAACGAATTCAACAAATCTGTATTAACAGATTTAATTCGTCATAACGAATTCAATGAATCTGTTATAACAAATTAAATTTGTTATAACGAATTCAATGAATCTGTTATAACAAATTAAATTCGTTATAACGAATTCAATGAATCTGTTATAACAAATTAGATTCGTTATATAAGGAATTCAATGAATCTGTTATTACAAATTAAATTTGTTATAACGAATTCTAAAAATCTGTTATAAAAAATTAAATTCGTTATAACGATTTCTAAAAATCTGTTATGAAAAATTAAATTCGTTATAACGAATTCTAAAAATCGTTATAACGAATTCAAAAATATTTTTGATAGGTCCTAAAGGTCCACTTTTTTTCTTATTTTACATCAATGATCTCCCATTATTCATAGAGAAATCAAGCATTGACTTATTTGCGGATGACCCCACTCTTCACTTTTCTGACAGTAATGTTTCTTCCATTCAAAATTTGTTATCTTCAGACATAAGTAATATAGAAAGATGGTGTCCTCGGAATCAGATGATTTTGAATACTAGAAAAACAAAATGGATGTTGATAGACACACATCAAAGACGATCAATAGTCAAAAATTTAAATTTACAAATTTCCTTGAGAGTGTTACACATGAAAAATAACTTGGAATTCACACTGAATTTTCACTTAATTTTTATACACATGTCGATGCTGTTTGTAAATTTGTATCTGGAAAGATACATGTATCTGTATTACGAAGAATTAAGAAGTATCTTCCATTAAGGTATACCTTTACTCAGATGACTAAAAATTCCACTGATAAGAACGAAAAACCGCCTATTGCACATTGTATACCTATGATTCTTGTGTTAATTTTCAATTTCAAATATCTAGGTCAATGACTTCGTTTTCATGCTTGTGGCCCCTGAGTATTTCTCTGGAAATACCTCAGTTTTTCACACTATGACCATTGTGTTCTTCATTCACAAAATACAAGCAACGAAACTCTTTAAATAATGAAATATTATAGCAATGTAACAGAGTTGCTCCTTGTAAAGAAATGAGTAGAATTTTGGGCCATAAATGTGATAATTATTAACAGTCCGAATTTCCTCTTTCCTATTTATATTTTTTCTTTGTTTGCTACG